TGTCCTACCAGATACCTGTGCTTTCCTAGTAGCTGAAAGCCACTGCCATTTGAGCTTGAGATGCACAATGTACCCAGTGTTTGAAAGCAAATAACTGCTCTTTGTGTGTACAGAGGAGGTGGAGGAGGAAGAAAGTTAAAGGCAAATAGATAGGGGTGGCCCAATTGCACAATCAACCCAGGCGTTCGCTTGGGCTAGGAAATAGGTAAGTAGATAGATAGGGTTGTCAATTAACTTATGTAAATATGTATAAGTCTAGAAATTTTTAGTAAAAAAAAAAAATCAACCCACCCAATTGGATAAACTTATCCATGAGTCCATGTAAGTACAGGCAATTCCCAAGTTACAAACATCCAACTTGCAAGCGACTCATAGTTACAAACAGGTGAGACATCAAGAAATGAGAGAAATCTACCCCTTGAATGGGAAATTAAAGAGTTATTATCACAGGGAAAAAGTGTCTCCACTGGAGTTTTTTCTCCAGTCCTTTTTTTCAACAACAACCAATTTTTTTTAAAAAATCCAATTCTCACAGGGACAGAAAGTGAGGTGAAATCTTACAAACACCAAAAGTGTGTTGCCCCTTCCCTGGGCTAACCAAATCTAATATGTGCATGTATATATCTACAGTATATATCTAGAGTTACACTTAAAAATATACCTGTTCCTACTGTTTGTGTATATGTGTTTTGTGTGTGTATATGTGTGTGTATATATTTGTGTATATGTGGTTTTGTGCATGCGTTGTAATGCATTTTAAAATTTTGGCTTTTTAAGTCTCTTCTGCTGTGTTTTTCAGTGTTTTTATGAGTGATGGTCACTCGTTGGCCTGATAGGTGCATTGGGTCCAAATTTGTTGTCAATTCACCCAGTGGTTTTTGAGCTATGTTAATCCCACAAACAAACATTACATTTTTATTTATATAGATATAGATATATATAAAACGGAATGTTGGCGGGCAGGAAAAGAGATTTAAAGATGGGCTCAAAGCCAACCTTATAAACTCTGGCATAGACACTGAGAACTGGGAAAGCCCTGGCCTGTGAGCGCTCAAGCTGGAGGTCAGCTGTGACCAGCAGTGCTGTAGAATTTGAAGAGGCACGAATAGAGGATGAAAGAGAGAAATGTGCCAAGAGAAAGGCGCGTCAAGCCAACCTCAACTGGGACTGCCTTCCACCTACAAACCAATGGCCTCACTGCGGGAGAACATGTAGATCAAGAATAGGGCTCCATAGTCACCTACAGACCTACCCTGGAGGATTATCCTACTCGGACAACGAGGGATCGCCTAAGTAAGTAATGTGTGTGTGTGTGTGTGTGTGTACACAAACTGGTATTTTCAAAAGTTAAGTATTTCAACCAGTTAAATGGAAGACTTTCAGGAGAGGAAATTTGTCCTTGCCACAAAAAGGGCCATCTGTGGGAGGGAACATAAAGCCACATAAGCAGCTGGGGGCAAATGAAGCCCTGGACCATGCTCTGGCCACCCTGCTGGACAGTTATCAGCAGAGCTTTCATCATCTGGTGGAGAACTTTGCCGTTGGAAAAGAGTCCCTTCTGTCACTGCTGTGACTTATGCTTCCCACACTCCACTGTTGTGCTTTCTTGACCATTCAGGACAATACACAATAGGCCACACTTAGCTTTATCCTACTTCTCTTGTATTTCTTTCCTTTTTTTGTTAGTTTGCTTTCTAAACCTGCATTTTGCAGAATGGTGTGTCTTTCCTGTTAGCCCTGGCTCCCTCCCCCATGTTTCTTTATCCTCTTTTGCCCTCCAACTTGCTCTGTTGTAAGTTTTTCCCCCTTTTAGTACATTTCATTTAAATTGTGCAGAACACCAAATAATGACTTGATCTGCTTAATGCAATTTCCTGGTTCTCTTGTGCTCTCTCTCGCCTGCTCAGAGGAAGAGAGATCCCTTCCCCCATGAAGTGTTTTTTTCCATTCTGAATGCTATGCTGCTGCTGGCTTGAATGTTGCAATAAGAACTTCAAACAATGCCCTGTTCTGGTCATTGCACATCACTGGCTTCGTGTTTTTGAGACTGTACTGTTATTTATTTTTTGTACTTTTTATATTTTGTTGTCTTTTTCACTCCCACCACACTGATATATTATTAAGCCTACATTAAACCAATGCAGATTTGTGGCTGGTACAGGAACTGAGCTTTTCTCTCTTATTACTTACTTAACAGTGCTGCTCCCATTTTTATGTTTCATCTGCGTTACAATCTGGCCCACTTATGTTCACCAACCAACCACTGCTTGAAAATATGCAAGCATTTTTTTTTTTACAAAAACGAAATTCTATTTTTTAAATTTTGTATAGGGAACACCATTTTACCACATCATTATATATAATGGTGGCACAGCAGTTAAACTGCTGAGCTGCTGGACTTGCTGATTGAAAGGTCAGCGGTTCGTATCCAGGGAGTGAGGTGAACTCCCGCTGTTAGTCCCAGCTTCTGCCAACCTAGCAGTTCGAAAACATGCAAATGTGAGTAGATCAATAGGTACTGTTTCAGCGGGAAGATAGCAGCGCTCCATGCAGTCATGCTGGCCGCATGACCTTGGAGACGTCTACGGACAATGCTGGCTCTTTGGCTTAGAAATGGAGATGAGCACCACCCCCCAGAGTCGGACACGACTAGACTTAATGTCAAGTGGAAACCTTTACCTTTTTATATATAATAGTACTTGCGCATCCATGTATTTTGGCATCCACACAAACCTCAGTGGACATCAAAGGCCCTTGGTACAAAAAAATAGTAGAGAAAGAACACTACAAATGTCGGCTTTTCTACCAAATTATTATCCCGTGTTTGCCAATTCAGGAATGTCTCTCTCATATTGCTTATAGGTGTTTCCTGTATTTGAAAAGCAGATATTTTTGCTTTCACAGACCCCAGAAATTTTTCACAAAACATTGTGCCACGTGTAACAACCCCTCCCCCCCTCAATTGTAGCAATTTATTATACAGTATTGAAGAAATAGAATATGGGATGTTTGAGTAAGAACCCCCATATCTGTAGGAAAAACATTTCTGGACTGGGTGTGGATATGTGAAATTGTAGATAATAGCGAACTCCACTGAAATGAAGGCATTCCAAATTATACCACCGTGTTCTGTTTGAAGACCTAAAAAATGATTATGTAAATAAAACTCTATGTAGTATCCCTATGGATACAGGGACCAAATTGTGCAGTATACATTTATAATCATTCTAGAAGAATGGGGAGGGGAATGTTCTTGCATTTCCAGCCATCCAATGCCCTTTCCTGCTTTACAGGCCTCAAAAGGAGATTCTCCACTCCGCATTTTCCTGTTTTCTGATAGTGCTTTGATAGTGCTGCTGATCTTCTCTCCTTTCCCTGAGTGCATCAAAACATAATGCTCTTGAATATTATTTATTTTATTTATTTAAAACATTTCTATTCTACCCTTCTCACCCCAAAGGGGACTCAGGGCGGAGCACAGCATATACAGGGCAAACATTCAATGCCGGGACACAAATTCACATACAATACATAAACATTAAAAAACATTTGTCAAAATATTAAAATACATGATTTAAAAATACACAATTCCTAGTAATCCGGAATTGGCCTGATCATCTTTCCTATTGCCGCTTTATTGCCCTGTCCCAAAAGCTTGGTCCCACAGCCAAGTTTTTACCATCCTTCTAAAGGACAGGAGGGAGGGGACCGACTTGATCTCACCAGGAAGGGAGTTCCATAGCCAGGGAGCAATCACCAAGAAGGCCCTGTCTCTCATCCCCACCAATCGTGCCTGTGACAATGGCGGGAAAGAAAGCAGGGCCTCCCCGGAGGATCTTAATCTCCGTGATGGTTGATAGGGGAAGATGCGTTCGGACAGGCCTGCGACCACAATGAATATTGAATTTTCCACGCAAACCACCGTAACCCTGGCCCTGGGTTGTTGTAGGTTTTTGGGGCGCTATATGGCCATATTCCAGTGGCATTGTCTCCTGACGTTTTGCCTGAGGCAAGCATCCTCAGAGGTTGTGAGGCCTGTAGGAAACTAGTCAAGTGAGGTTTATATATCTGTGTTATGTCCAGGGTGCGAGACCTCACAACCTCTGAGGATGCGAGACCTCACGACCTCTGAGGATGCGAGACCTCACAACCTCTGAGGATGCTTGCCATAGATGCAGGCGAAACGTCAGGAGAGAATGCCTCTAGAGCAGTGGTTCTCAACCTGGGGTCCCCAGATGTTTTGGCCTACAACTCCCAGAAATCCCAGCTGGTTTACCAGCTGTTAGGATTTCTGGGAGTTGAAGGCCAAAAACATCTGGGAGCCCCAGGTTGAGAACCACTGCTCTAGAGCATGGCCATATAGCCTGAGAAAACCTACAACAGTGGTTCTCAACCTGGGGTGCCCAGATGTTTTTGGCCTACAACTCCCAGAAATCCTAACAGCTGGTAAACTGGCTGGGATTTCTGGGAGTTGTAGGCCAAAAACATCTGGGGACCCCAGGTTGAGAACCACTGACCTACAACAACCCAGTGATTCCAGCCATGAAAGCCTTCCACAACCCTGCCACCCATTTTTCTTGCAAGGGTTTCCCTTCCTCTTCTCCTTCCTGCCCTTGCATTTTGCAAACTGTGTGTGATATCATAACCTCTTTTTTCCTTTGCATTCCTCTCCAGCCACACCTTATTTTATATTTTTTGCAGACCTGGAAATCTCCCCCACTTCCTCTCCAAAATATGCCTGCCTTTATCTTCTCTGCACCTTCTCCTGCATGACTTTTTTTTGGGTTTTGTTTTTGCATGCCATCTGGTTTGTTTTTTTGCAAGCAAAGAAGCAACCAGGCCCGCTTGCTTGCCTCTCTCCTCCCTTCCCTCTCGTCTCTCCTTCTGTATGTGTGCATGTGTGTGTGTGTTAGCCTCTCTTTTTTTTCCCCTTCTCTCTCTCTCTCTCTGCTCATTTCTGTCTGGCTGGCCACCTTCCTCTCTCTCTCTCTCTCCCCAATGCTGAGTGTCTGCGAGCCGTTGGCTGCTCTGAACCGTTTTGGCTCCTTCCCTTAGTAACAGCTTTAACATTCTGCCTCAATTCCTCTTCAATCTAAATCACACACACACACACTCACATACAGACACAGAGATTACTTTTTTTATTACCCTCCTCCTCCTTTCCTCGGGACTTAATCTGTAATCTCTCCCCTCCTCCTTCTCTTCCTCCTCCCAGAAACCTTTCTGGTTTTATTTTATTTTTCCCCCCCAATCCCCACCCCCAACACTTACACACACTTACACACACACACAGAGGCTTGGGATATAATTGAATACCTTGCATTCTTGGTGTGACTATTTGTGGTTCTTTCCCTTCCCCCCTTCTTTCCCCACCATTATTATTTTCTTGGGTTTGCAAAAAAATAATAATATATATGTTGCTGCATTGGTAACAGACCCTATCTATGGTTTCCTTTTTTTCCCTCCCCCTTCCGTTGCAAAATAAAGGAGGAGGGGGTGAGAATAGACAGCGAGGCATCCATTGCAAGGTAAGAAAAAACATCCAATAATAATAATAACAAAAAATTGACAAAAGAAGAAGAAGAGAGGGTTGTGCGTAAAAGTCTTTTGGTGGAAACATGGAAAAAGAGAGACATTGTTTTGCATGGTGGGGGCTGGGGTTGCTTTGAAATAAAGGGGGATTCATGTTGGGATAGTGTATTTTTTCAAGTGGGGGGAGATCAAAAGATATTGGCCTGTGTTTGTGAATTGGAGGAGGGAGAGAATTGGGGGGTGGATTTGCAGCCTGGATTTCTCAGCTCGGCCCTCTCTTTCCTTCCCTTGGAAGTGGGGGTGCCTTTCCCCTTTAATCCCCCCTCCTTTTGGTTTCTTGCCTGTGATGTTTTGGAGGTTTCCCCCCTCCTTCAAACCCCTCCCCCTTCAGCCTCTGACCCCTTTATTTTCCTAGGAAAATGGTGGAGATGGGGGAGGGAAAGTAAGTGCCTTTTGGAGAGGCGAAAAAGGGATTTGCGCAAATAAATGCAACCCAGCAGCCATGATGAAGAAGCCAGCTGGTTGGAGAGCCTATTTTTAGACCGATTTGGTGGTGAGGGTGTCTCTCTCTGTGTGTGTATCTATCCCTGTGTGTGTGTGTGTGTGTGTAAAGGAAAGGCGACGACTTCTTTCCAGGCACAACACACAGAGGTGTGTGTGTGTGTGTGCATTTTGAATGTCCTGCGCCTTGGGAAGGAAAACGCACACACAGAGGCGCACGGCGGGGCACCTCCATGTCTCCATAAATTTCGCTCGGAAGTGGGGTGTTTTTCTCCACCTGGGAATGTATTTTTGAAAAGGTCAGTAAGGTGTTTTTTTAAGGTTGGGGTGAGGGGGAGGGGAAGTTTGATTTCGCTTGAGGGTTGTGTCTTTAAAAGCTGTGTTTGCAAAGAACCTTGGGGGAAGGGAGGAAATGGCTTGGTGGCTGAACTCAGGCTGGGGTGGAGGAGGGGAAGGAGAAGAAGAAGCACTGAGCTGCTTGGGTGTCTCTCTCTATTTTTGCACTGTATTCATTTAAAAAGGCCTGCATTTGAAATATATTTGTGCTGAAAGGTAGCCTGAGCATTTGGTTTCGGGTCTGGTTTGGCTTGATTTCCCAAAGAGACAACATTGAAGCCCCTGGAGACTTTTGAAGTTGGAGGTGTCTTTGGAGAGAAATGGGGAAAGCACCAGAATTGTTATGGAAGAGTTTCTTGTGAACTTCTGCTGGATTTAAAAATGTGGACAGCCTACACACCTGCATATGTGTGTGTTTATATGTATATATGTGTATGTATATCTATCTAGATATAGATTATGCCCCTTAAATTTAGAAATCTTGCTGTTTACAGAGTCCATGTCCACGTGTAAAAAGTCTGAAATGTCAGACAACACCCTGCAATAGTGATGTTTTTTCCTACTTTAGAAGTGTTTGGTTTTGGCCTGATTTCCCAAAAAGACAACATTGAAGCCCCTGGAGACTTTTGAAGTTGGAGGTGTCTTTGGAGAGAAATGGGGAAAGCACCAGAATTGTTATGGAAGAGTTTCTTGTGAACTTCTGCTGGATTTAAAAAGTGGACAGCCTACACACCTGCATATTTGTGTGTTTATGTATATCTATATATAAAGATAGAAATAGATTATGCCCCTTAAATTAAGAAATCTTGCTGTTTAGAGAGTCCACATGTAAAAAGTCTGAAATGTCAGACAACACCCTGCAATAGTGATATTTTTTCCTCCTTTAGAAGTGTTTGGTTTTGGCCTGATTTCCCAAAAAGACAACATTGCAGCCCCTGGAGACTTCTGAAGTTGGAGGTGTCTTTGGAAAGAAATGGGGAAAGCACCAGAATTGTTATGGAAGAGTTTCTTGTGAACTTCTGCAGGCTTTTAAAATGTGGACAACCTACACACCTGCAAATGTGTGTGTTTATATGTATATGTGTGTATGTATATCTATATATCAAGATAGATATAGATTATGCCCCTTAAATTAAGAAATCTTACTGTTTAGAGAGTCCATGTCCACGTGTAAAAAGTCTGAAATGTCAGACAACACCCTGCAATAGTGACATTTTTTCCTCCTTTAGAAGTGTTTGGTTTTGGCCTGATTTCCCAAAAAGACAACATTGCAGCCCCTGGAGACTTTTGAAGTTGAAGGTGTCTTTGGAAAGAAATGGGGAAAGCACCAGAATTGTTATGGAAGAGTTTCTTGTGAACTTCTGCTGGCCTTAAAATTTGGACAGCCTACACACCTAGTGTGTGTGTGTGTGTGTGTGTATATATATATATATATATAGAGAGAGAGAGAGAGAGAGAGAGATTATAGATTATGCCCCTTAAATTTAGAAATCTTGCTGTTCAGAGAGTCTTTGTCCACGTGTAAAAAGTCTGAAATGTCAGACAACACCCTGTAATGGTGATATTTTTTCCTCCTTTAGAAGTGTTTGGTTTTGGCCTGATTTCCCATATACACCCCCCCCCCCCACATATTTTTAAGGCCCACAGAACTTCACAAGCAACTCTGTATGTGTATATGTGTGTGTATATAGGTGTGTACACATATGTAATGGGAAAAGCACCAGAATTATTATGGAAGAGTTTCTTGTGAAGTTTTGCTGGCCTTAAAAATTTGGACAACCTACACCCCCGCTCTGTGTATACACACACACACACACACACACACACACACACATGTATAGATTATTCCCCTTTAATTTAGAAATCTTGCTATTCAGAGAGTCCTTGTCCATGTGTAAGAAGTCTGAAATGTCACTGTAATGGTGATATAAGAACTCCCTGTAATGGTGATATTTTTTTCCCTCCTTTAGAAGTGTTGTGTTGTTGTTGTCTTGCAGATTTAAAACTTGAGGTAGTTAACTTCAGACCTAGACATGGTTATCTTAGGCCAGCAATGATCAAACATTCATTTTATTATTCTTCCACAACGTGGAGCAAAAGTTTAAATTAAAGATGGCACAGGAGGAGATTGGTAGATTACTTTTGAAGTGAAGCAAAGGTCATAATGATAATAATAGTAGTAGTAGTAAACTCCTACTGTGGATATTCTAAAGGAAGAAAAGTTTCAAAAAACAATTAGAGAAGTTTGGTCAAGAGATGAACTTTTTTTTAATGGTGTCCCTGAATTGCCTGGTTCCTGACTCTGCCATGTGCTTTACTTCCTCATTATTACTAATGTTGTATGTCTGTGTGAGTATGTCTTGGTAGAGGAAGTTCGAACGAGTTTATGTAAGAATCACACAATTCTCATTTTTTTAAAAAAAAACTAGGCAAAGGGTAAGTAGGAAGGGAAGCTGACTTACACCTGGAATAGTTCAGTTCTCCTCCCAGTCTAAACGTATGCCTTACATTCATGGTGTGTTGTAATAAAAAAAATGAGTATCCCACAAAACATGTGGTCGGGAAGGAGTGTCTGTCCATGTTGTATTGGAGACATCTGTCTCAGTGTTCAAGTGTGGATAGGACTTTCACTTGTACATTTGGAATTTTTTAGTGTGTTTTTTGACCAAGGCCTCATGCTCTGAGGCCATTGTGGTTTAGATAGTCTAAGATTTTTTTTTACTCAGACTTCCTGCAGAACTTAAGGTCTGACCCCGTGAGCAATGTAAATACAGTAAGGGTTTGGTACAGAGGATCTATTCCCCCCATTATTGATTTAGAACTGCCATCATCCTTCACTATTGGCTATGTTGGCCAGGGCTGACTGACTGTGAGAGCCGTTCAGCAGTGGAACTCTCTGCCCCGGAGTGTGGTGGAGGCTCCTTCTTTGGAAGCTTTTACTTATTTATTTTTATTTTGTCTTTCTTCCATGAGTGGAACTCAAAATGGTGAACAAATGGTTAAAAAAGAAATTACATAATACAAGAGCACAACATCATCCCCCAACCCAAACAAGTAATCAATAAACAAAAAACACATTGCATAAACCATATAAAATAAGCATAATAAATAACGACATTTGTAATTAAAAATCCATGGGCTTCAGGCCACTGAGGTTGTCCTAAAAATATTATATTAAAAATCCTCGAAGCATCAAATCTTTGGCCATGTGAACTTTGCCAGACGGAAATAGCCTTCAATTATGTGTCTTGACAATAGTAACTAGCTGCCTAGTCTTAGCTTATTATGGGTTGTCAGGAAGGGCCTGCTTCCACAGAGAGCTTTTAACCTGGGAGCGAAACACCACTAACAAGGGGGCCAAATGCACCTCTTTGAGAGGGAGTTCCAGAGTCGCGGGGTCACCACTGAGAAGGCCCTCTCATTCCCACCAATCGTATTGTTACGGTGGTGGGACTGAGAGAAGGGCCTCTCCTGATGATCTCAGGGCTCGTGTGGGCTGGTAGGAGGAGATACATTCCCTCAAGTAGGCTGGGCTCAAACAAAGTGTGGAGGATTGTAGATCTGACCTTTCCCTGGTAATGGGAAAGTCCCAGTGAACTGCAGAACTTCTAAAGAAACAGAAGATTGTATTGCTGATGCCAAAAGAGTGCAAATGCTTCTTGGAAGGGGCTGTATATATGAATGTCCAATAGCTGAGCAAGTCTGGTAATGGTGGCTCTGGCCATATGGTTTGTTTAGATTGTCGGCAGCTTGGAAAATTGGAGAAGAGTTTGTTGGGAGTGTTTATTGTTGAAAACAGAGGCCATGTCAGTATTGTGTTCTCAACACTAGTGATACTATATGATTATAAAATAAAAGTAGTTGGTCTTGACTTCATCTGGGCATATTGATGAACAGGTTAATTTTGTTACTAACTGAAATTTAGAATTCAATGGAATACATTCAGTTGGTCCTCTATTTATTATAATGGAAGAAAAAACCCACATTGGATCTTCTTATTCTTTATTCCAAAAGCTGACATAATTTGGTTGTACACAAAGGTTGTTTGCTATTGTAAAACTAAGAGCCCCTGGTGACACAATGAGTTGTGTCGGCAGGAGTGCTGAGTGAAAGCTTGGCAGTTTGAAACTGGGGAGAGGGGTGAACTCCCGCATGTCAG